GCAAGCAAGCCTTGCAACCTCGCACATCTCTGGTGGAATCGCAGGCTAATCGTATCTTGAATGTTACATTACAGGCGAATGTTCTCGGTGAGGGAGCGCTCTTATTCTATATACAAAGCTGAACAAATGTACAAAAATGGACCAACTTAGTAACGAAAAAAAAATCCATACAAAATGTTAGATAGCTGATTAATATTGTGTGGAGACAATTTTTGTAACAAACTACACATTTAAATAATAAGATTCACGCAAAAATACAGGGATTTACGGTACTTAAAAAGATTATTTTTATCACTGCGTATAGAAAAAACGATACCTCTGGGTTTAATTGGCGTAAACACCATTTTGGCCAAAGTGAGTTATATACACAGTTTTACTCAGAATTTGAGCTCTATTGATCTGTTGTATATGAAATATCCAAATTCTTAAATGTAAGGTTTATACGACCCATATATTTTTAACCAAAATTTGTTGCAAAATATAAAATACAGATGTATCAGTCAACTTCCTTTTTTTTTTAATTTAAATATATCGTAAATGCCACATTTGTTTTCATCTCAAGACGTTAATTTAGTGTCTAAATAAGTGGTTTTTATGTCATTGTATTTAGAAGCGTTTTATTTCCAGCACGTTAGATTTTGCACGTCGTAATTACAATTTTTAATAAGTGGATTGGCGTAAGCACCAGCACACCATACCACACCACTTACGATATACGTTTTACACCTACAAAATTTTACTAAAATTTTAATGTAAAACACATTTGCAAATGTATATTAAGTCTTTATCTTTGCGTAAAAATATAAGGTAATAATAATCTATAGTGTGATTACATAAACCAAAGCATTGAGTTTAAAATCAGAATATTTTAAAGATATTTAATAGTTTTTGCTAAGCTACAAACAGATAGCCATCTTTTTTCCTTGTAGAAAGCGAGAGAGAGAAAAATCTAGTCTCGGCTACACTTTAACTATGCTCGAGTCGAGATAGGGATGCACGATCGATTTTTTTGGATCGAAACGGATAAATGACTTTGAATCGATTCTCAGACCGGATTATGTGGACTTGAATGAATATCACAAATTTTACATCGTTTTAAAATTTGGTTAACACCTTTTTTATTATTGCCTTCAGTATGGCACATATATAATTATTTTTTTACTTTATATACTTTACATTAATGTCTCAGTTGAGCGTCTACTGCTCCAACTTAACCAGAGTTATATGGCGCTACTACGAATGTGCGCACGGTAGGGAGCTCCCGATGGAGTTAAGGAAGTACTAAAGAGATCTGCAGACCAACTCTGTTACTTTTGGAAATGATATCACGAATATAGACTCTTTTGCTGAAGGACTGAAAACGACTCTGAAAGGCGTAAAAATTGAAATCGTTGAAATGGCTTCCACCTACAACTAAAATGCTTTCATGGCTAAATGCAAGTTCATCAAGCTGTTTGAACGAAAAGTTCCAGCTACGATTGGCGTCGGTTCTTTGGGTTGGGTCGGGATCTCATTAGAAATGTGTTTTAGATGAGCGCTTGTGAATAAACCCTTTTGGGTTTACCATTTATAGGACACAAATATAAAATATTAGTTATATTTGTAATGTTATTATACTTTTTATATGACATAACAACGCTAAACCGAAATGAGTTTGCTCGAATAGTTAGAACACAAATTAATTGAGAATGAGATTTAATATAACTTAAGTAAAGTGATTTAGCTTTTAACTAAATTTATCGGATACCTACTCGTAGTTTTAAGAAAATAATACATATTCTTTTTATTGCGTTTACACCGAAATTTACTTGTAAAAGTTCAACAAAAATGGCAATACTCTATAAATGGTTATTGTGATACAAAATTGCTGTGGATGTAAACACCATTGAATGTTGTTTTCTCAGATGTATATAAAGGGGTCGGCACGAGTTGTTTTCCAACTTTAAAATGAAATAAAACATTTGCATATGGCTCAAATTGAGATAACATGCGTTCATTTGACGGTCAACGAGTTTGGCTTTTTAAAAAATTGATGCACATAAGCTCATCCTTATAAGCTTCAAGTCGTCCAAGCAATTACTGAGCGGGATAAAATTCAGAGGTAAGCATTTTGTGAGTTAATGCAGCAGCAAATTATTGAGAATCCTGAATTACTGGATAATTTGTTTATGTCGGATGAAGCCCATTTTTGCCTTTCCGGTCACGTGAACAAGCAAAACTTCAAGTACTGGAGCGACACCAACCCGCACGAATTACACCAACACCATTTGCATCCCCAAAAGGTAACAGTTTGGTGCGCAATCGGAGTGAAAGGTGTCATAGGCCCTTATTTTTTCGAAAACGAGCATGGCAACACGGTTACCGTCAATTCGGAAAATTATTCCACTATGGTGACCAACTTCTTTCTTCCGGAATTGGCCAGACGTCAGCTCCAGAACATCTGGTTTCAACAAGACGGGGCAACCCCGCACACAGCCCGAAAAAGTATGGCTGTTCTCAAGGAAGCATTCCCAGGGCGCCTGATTTCCAGGTTCGGGGACATCCACTGGCCCGCAAGGTCACCCGACCTGTCTGTCCCCGACTTTTTCTTGTGGGGATATCTGAAGGAAAGGATCTTTCGTCACCAACTTAACTCTCTGGCCGAATTAAAACAGAAGATTCGTGATGAAATTCAAAACATTTCAAATGAAATGTTAGAAAAAGTGAAAGAAAATTTCATCAAAAGGCTCCAACTTTGCAGAGATGAAAATGGGGGACATCTTGCAGATATTGTTTTCAAAAAATAATTTTAAAAAAGCCAAACTTGTGATCTCAATATTGTTAAGAAAGATTAAAATTTTATCAATAAATAAACTTGTTATTTCATTTTAAACTTGGAAAACAACTCGTGCCGAACCTTTTACAAGCAATTTTTTAAACTAAAGGAGTCCGGTAGATTTTAGTAATTTATAATTTTCATGACTGAAAAGTAAGTAAAGTAAAAGTAATCTTTTGCATTTGACACTTTTTATACGTTTTAAACCAAAAAAATTACAGGCGAAAATACAAAATAAATTTCGTTTTTTCACTCATCTGAAAAGACTGGTTTTGGCTTTTACGCCAAATGAACCCAGAGGTATCAAAAAGGTATAACAAACAATATACTACACGTACATGCTACTAAATTGTATCAATGTTCACAATTGAGTTTAAAAATATACTTTGTTTTACTAAATATAATAAATCACGATTAAAAATATTTATATTAAGATTAAAAATTTTATTATTATGGATATTTCTCCGTATTTATCTTTCTACTGAGTATTTATCCCAATGATATTTAACCATGACCCATCTCTACACTGATTGAACTAATTAATTATCCGTTCAGTATATAAAATAAAATACAGTTACTCAGTAAGTGTTGAGTACAAATAATTGTTAGAAATACTTAACTGCAGAAATATGTTTCAGTCATTAACGCAGAACAATTTTTGCAAGAAAAAATGTTAGATGGATTAATTGCTATGCGAATAAATTGCACTTTTGCACGTAATTATGGAAGATAACTATCGCAACAGATCGGAAGAACCAGGTTTTAGGTACGATGCATTTTTCTGTTATATAGAACTGTCAAAAAAAAATTTCTGTAAAAAAACAAAATTAATATATGGGATTGTGCGGTTAATGTAGTTGCGTCATATGGATTCTACGTAATACTTTCTATGGTTTCAGCCGCACGTTACTTTCTGATATAGCATTTGTTTTTTATTTATGTACTGCAACATCTTACAATGAAAGTCTCGTAACGGAAGTAGGTACCTAGTTACAATGACGTACATTCGATTCAGGTGTACCCTGGAATGCAACGACCTCGTGACAGTTACTGTGATAACATAAACTACACATTTATGTAGGTCGTACTTTACTCAATTGTCATAAAGTACTCATATTCAATTATTTTCTTAACAATTTCTTTATAATTAGTTGCGTAAAATTTCAGAAACTTAATTTTTTGTTAATGATTTGTGAACATTTTTCGTCCTTCACTTCACTGTATTAAAGCAAAGGTAGAGACAGTATTAAGTATAATTAATGACCCACGGATGAATGTGCAATTGGGTGTTGAATTTATGGAAAAGCCTTTTAACAACAATTGCAACTTACGGTGACGATATCGAAGTTGTATGTTTCAAAAGATAAAAAGTAAAAAATATAAGTAAAAGTAGGAGATAATGCAGGAAAGGCTTCAATAATATCCAAGTGTTGATATTAATTACGTTTGCTCTCCTGTGTGGAGTTAATGAGTTTATTGTCCAGAGAGGCGTCACTTTGAATGTGTGCGGTAAACTAAACCTCTTAACATTTTCTCCAAATATTTAAGAAATTTTAGTCAGCACTTTGTTTGACTTATGAAGAGTAGATTGTAACTTAAAAAACTATGGTCGTTATGTGTATCGCAGGTAAAGACAGGAGTTGCTACTTGCGCCCTTAAAAAAAATACAAGCAGCTGTGTGGGAACACGGCCCTTCCCTCGCCTTGCCGCAGTGACCGGTTTCGTGTTAGAAGTTTACAGTTAACATGAATGGAACACTGTTTGACGATAGATGTATTATCTGTCTGTCACCACGCTTCGCATCATGTGAGCTCCTGTGAAATGAGAACAATTCGCCGAAATTTACGTCTCATCTGATGATTTTCTACTACTTACTTTTTTGTAATGAGTAGTAATGAAATAATTCAGTAACGGCGGAATAATTTAAAGCTAATTTGTTGTAAGTACCTACACAGGTAAACGAATACTCTTATTGTAAAAAGTGATAACAGTCGCATTCGCTATAAAATATTTTGTCTATAAATTTCGGCAGTATTAAAAAAAAATCACAACGTGACTTCAAAGTTAAGCTTTGCCATGCCACATCCATGGTCACTAGAATTGTAAAACACATCAGACGGTCAGTGCGTGTCATGTTACGTTTTCCTGAAAATATACTGGAATTATGACATAAACATTTATTTACCTTGGTTCCTTTGACTTTTGCAGCGAGGCGGTTAAGAGTTAACTGGAACAATTATAGGTTATGTCGAATGCGGTACGAAGCACCCACGTGCAATAAAAATACCAGGCAGCGCGCGACCGTCCTGCTCGCGATTCAAAAACCGAATGACGTTTCTTTGGTACGCTGCTCTAGACTTGTACTGAGTACGCACGCATTGTAAGAGGCAAGCGGTTGAAGTATTGCGTCATACTTGAACCGTGCTCAGAGGCAATAACTTTTACGGTGTTTTTAAAAATTATCCTTACTGAATTTCTATTTCATTGAAAAAAACTATTCATCTTTAAAGATTTGTAGGTATAAATATTTGACTAATAGTAATAACATAAATGCGAAAAAAGAATATGATCTACAAATTTGTCAACGCCACCCTTAGCTTGCATTTTTTAGCCCACAAAGTAGAAACCGAGGTGGAGGTATAGCAATTTAAGTATACTTACTTACCCGTAAATAACAATATTCGAGTAACATATACCTATTAAATCGACTTTATCGCATTTATCCCGTTTGTAATGTTATTATAATGCAACGTGAAAATTTAAAAACATAATTATTATTAAAACCATATTCCGATACGATATAATATGAATAGCCAAATGGTCATTATTTTATTTATTTTGACAAAATTATTTAGTGAAATTTTAGTGCTAGATTATTTTGTATTTAGGTTCTAAGGCTATTAACGTTTGGTTCAAATTGTTTACATGTTTCGTAGTTATGGAAACGACATGGTTTAGTTTTCGTGATTCACACCTAATTGGGAATAATATATGTACCCAGTTAGTTATCTTATGACCTTCTATTATCGACTCAATATGGATTGTTACTCTTTAATCTATATAATATTTTTTTAATAAACCAAGCGACGTACAGGTCTGGCGCTTGGTGTTAAGCGACACGCCTACGTCTATCTATTGCAATTGCAGTGCCACTCAGAGCTTTAAATCGCAAAGATCTGAGGGATACTGCGCCTGTCACCCTGAGACATAAGATGACACGTCTCATGTGCCTGTAATTTCATCAGCACCCTTACCTTACAATACCGGAACGCAGTAATGCTTACATTACTGTGGCAGCATAAATAAGTTAGGCGGCAGTACTTCCTTGGACGAACTCTTTCACGAGGAGCTATTCTGCTATTAAATAGTAACGTGTGTATAAAATAGCTACTTGTGTATATAAGTGTATATAAATATAGACTTTAAATTTTTATTCAATTTATATTAAACTATTTCTATGTGAAGTTATTCCACTAGTTTGTTATAATTATTAATACAAAGATCGAACACTCAGAAACATCCTTCGACCCGTCCGGATTCGAACCGAAGTCTTCTAACATACTGTCGCAGACGCTATACCAACTAAGCCATTTTCTACTACCCGCATTGGGCCAGTGTGGCGAACTAGGCCATAGTTCGCCACACTGGCCCAATGCGGGTTGGGGACTTTATACGTTTTCCGAGTGCTGTGAATCTTATTCAACGTGCAGGTTTCATCAGAGTTGTCCTTCACAGAAAAGCTCATGTAAATTTCGGACATATTTCCGAGAAACTCAGAGGTGTGAGCCCGGATTCGAACCCACAACCGTCTGCTTTAGCCAGTAGATCAAACCATTATGCTATCATGGTTTGTTTTCAGTTTGACAAAAAAAAAATTATAAGTTTAAGAATTTGGAATACGGTTATGGTCAAGGGCACTCTGTAGTTAAAATTTTTTTTTGATGTCTCAAAGTCACGGACTTACCAAACCGTCCCCGTATATGTCTTTGGAAATATTGTGTATACAAGTTCTGAAATGGGGATACTGGTTGTTACCCCACGTAGTAGCATCTACCTGATTGGATCAACTACATATTACAAATACTTATAATTTGTGAGACATCACTGCCTCCAGCAAAACATCGCGGTTACTCGTGGGTAACATATCAATCTCGGTATGGGTCACTCGCGGCAAAAGCGTTATCATGCCGGCAGGTCTCAAGAGCCTGTAATGGCGAGACGAATTGGTTCTATAAAATTAAGCAGACCTTATTAAACTATTTTACTATTAATAAAAAACATAAGTTACAGAAAATGAAAAGATTCAAATGAGTTAATATCGAGCAAACCAGGCAGAAACATGAAAATAATTTGTTACAGTATTAGAAAAATATTCTTATTCTTAAATATTAATACAAAGGTCGAACACTTCGATCTTGCCGGATTCAAACCGACGTCTTCTAGCAAACCGTGCCAGCCAACTAAGACACGGAACGAACTAGCGGACCTCACGAATTTTTCCATGTGCTTGTTTGTTGGATCTTTGTATTTGGTTTTTTAACGACTTTTTAGCCGTAGCGCCAACTATGAGAAACGTTTACAGCTACAACCTTAGGTATTCTTCTTCTTTTGCTTATTAGTCTGTGTCGCAAGTTTGTAAAAATAATATGTAAAAATCATGGTGAAGGTTCACAATGTCAATGTTTTCATGACGGAGAATAATTTCCCCAGAAAAATATTCGAAATTTATTTGGAAACATTGATATGTAGCAATATCCGCAACTGAAATGCTCCGTCACAAAAGCCTAATATTCAATCGCAGTGAAAACTACAACGAAAATTGCATCATGCATTTTGCAAAGTCAGGGCAATGATCATAAAATATAGCTAAGGTCATTTCTATATCACTATAGAAACTTCGCCGAATTTTTTAACCGAGCTTAATTATATTATAGTTATATTTATGTGGTTTTAGTGCTCTTGGAATTAACGTAGGTATATTTGTAACTTTTATACCTCTCCATGTGAGTCCATTAACAAGCTTAGAAACTTATCTATATCTACACTCATTAGGTTAAGTACCACAGGGGTAGCGAGCCTTGCGAACCCAATGATATCTACACCTGGATGAAAACGAAATGACGACTGCCAGCCAGCCTTATAGCTAACCTCAGAAGGTTAACGATAGCGGCATTGATATGTTTTTCCGGTTCAGTGTTCACATTTAACCACATTATGGGGACCGGCCTAATTATTGTTGAGCGCATCTCTAGAGCCTCAGCACTATTCCCCCATCACCATGGCTAACAATAATATGTATTTCAAAAATCTCAGTGGCGCGCACAGATTAAACGATTGGCAATCTCAATGTTTTCTGATTCGTGTTTCAACCTAAAATAATCTGAACATGAAATCTTAATCTTCCTCTTTCTTCTGTTAATAAACGACAACACTGCCAAAAGTTTGGCTAATAATAATGGATAATAATATGTCAGACAACCACACCAATACAAGAGGCACTTCCATTGACTTAAAAATAAATGGACGACGGGTCTAATACAAAAACCACGAAAAAAATGTCCCAAGTCAACCTATTCGAAATTTAAATTGTAATGTCATCGCAGTATCGCGCTGTCAGTAGAACAAATGAAGACTAAAGCGGAGTGTCGCGCTCTGTATACGATTTTAGCGCCTTACAAGTGCGGACACATTTTAGCGCGGACCCGACGTCCATATAATTGTAAGTCAATGGGCACTTCCTAGTACAACCCAACCAGTACCAATTTAGGAAATGACCTTGTCTGGCATATTATTATCTATTATTATTAGTCAAAAGTTTGGGCAATAAAAACAATGTCAGACAACCACACCAGTTCCAGAGCAACGGAATTCATTTTGGGGCACTTCCCGGAACAACCAGACTTCTAGAAAAATTCATTTCCTAAGTTGGTTCTACCTGGAATCGAAAACCCGGGACCTCCTAATCACATAGTTCAAACTGTCGGGACATGAGGTCGGATATTTATTAAAAAGAGTGGTTAAAAGGGCTCCTGCCAATAATCTGATAAGTAAAATTATCAAAAAAAATATAACTATTATTAGTAAAAAAATATGTAAATTATTATTATGTGTATAATTAGTAGAAACTGACTATTGATGGCATTGACCATTGACTTACAATTATATGGACGTCGGGTTCGCGCTAAAAAGTGTCCGCACTTGTAAGGCGCTAAAATCGTATACAGAGCGCGACACTCCGCTTTAGTCTTCATTTTTTCTACGGACAGCGCGATACTGCGATGACATAACAATTTAAATTTCGAATAGGTTGACTTGGGACATTTTTTTCGTGGTTTTTGTATTAGACCCGTCGTCCATTTATTTGTAAGTCAATGGCATTGACCTAATGATTGATGGAAATTAATTATTGGTTTAAACGGAAACTGTCAGCCGGAAAGACAGAATAACAATACCAGTGTGCTGTCTTTCGCCTTACGCGTTTAGCCGGCAGTTAAACGCAAACAGTTGGTAGTAAAGTTCGATAATATTGGGCAAACGGCCAAGAGTGTATTTTAGTAAAAAATAACTGTCACCTACTATTGCGACTGTAGTGTCTAGCTTCGTGATTTAATCAGTTGGTAGACCAGTTAGTCTAGGGTTTAAAAATAGTAAAAAGCTATTTGCATTTGTGGTAAACTGCTGTCTTCTTTTTAATCTTTGTTTATTTCTAGAGGGTTTTACAAATGCCATCCTCATAGTGGCTTAATCATACACAACATATTTCTTAACTGCTGTCATTGATAATAATATTATGCTTTGATATTTATACCTCTTAGGCACTTTTGACTTCGCTAAATACTTAGGTATGTATCATATCATCCTACGTCCAAGTTCTGGGCACCGGTATTATTTAGGAAAGGAGTAATTTTATTTATTTATATTAGGGGTTAAAGTATGAAATTGCCGTTTTATTGCAATAGGTTCTTTGAATTTTCATAGAATCTTCATGGTTTGAGGTTTTCGAATGAAACTTTTTCAAATGGTTTCTGTGATTTTTTTTTTTAAATTTGAAACATTTGAATATCGACTTTCAATTGTTTTTGTTATTCAATTTAGACAAGAAAGATGGATACTGCGAAAATTCGAGTGATTTTTGAATACGAGTTCCGACGCGGAACTAACGCGGCAGAAACAGCCCGCAATATCAATGCTGCGTTTGGAGAGGGGTCTACTAATGAACGCACCGTGCGATTTTGGTTTAAACACTTTCGTGATGGAAATTTCGACTTAAAGAACGAGTCACGAGGAAGACCGCCCACACAGGTGAATAACG